GAAGTGAGATTGCAGGAGAGGCAAGGGGGAGGGGGGCAGAAAGAGAGACAAGGGGGGGGGGGGGGGGGGGGGGGGGGGGGGGGGGGGGGGGGGGGGGGGGGGGGGGGGGGGGGGGGGGGGGGGGGGGGGGGGGGGGGGGGGGGGGGGGGGGGGGGGGGGGGGGGGGGGGGGGGGGGGGGGGGGGGGGGGGGGGGGGGGGGGGGGGGGGGGGGGGGGGGGGGGGGGGGGGGGGGGGGGGGGGGGGGGGGGGGGGGGGGGGGGGGGGGGGGGGGGGGGGGGGGGGGGGGGGTGAGGGGTGGGGGGGGGGGGAGGGGGGAGGGGGGAAAAAAGAGAGAGAGGGGGGGGGGGGGAGTAAAGAGTTTGCTGGAGAGGCAAGGGGGGGGAGTGTCCAGCTTTATTTTATTATTTTTCCATCACATGACTTTTCAGAGAAGTTTTGGAGGGACTGCAAGTAGCTATGCAGTATGGTAGAATTGGAATTTCCTTTTAAAAATGGCCTTCTGTTTATAAATTTAAGGAACCAAATCATGGAAATTATGTTGTATTCTTCACTTTTCATGAAGTTCTTTTAGAGAAAACCTTTTATAACCAATTTTTATGTGTCAGGGTTCTAATTTTCTATTGGCCTATTTTACACTCTTATATAATCCTTCAGAAATTCTGAAGTAACATCCCTAGGTAACTTTCTTGAGTCTTAGTTTGAGACCTTGGCTCCCTTCTTTACGGAACAGAAAAACAGTTTACAGTAATTCACTGTAGTAACATAGTTTGCTCTCAAGCTGAGCTGTAAGCCTCTTTCTGCCGCAGTGTAATATGTTGCATTGAACTCTATAACCATTAGGAAACAATTTCTTGGCTTATAATCAACACTAATAATCAATAGGCAAATTCCTCAGGGATATTCTTCCTTGACACTCATTCCTGTGTTACAGTAAAGTAGTACTTCAGGATAACAATTCCAGTTAATTTTGTAATGGATAAATAACTTTCTCTGCTTCCATTACTGACACTGCATTACTAAGAAGGCCATAAAGACTAACATGACCTTTTGGTATTGATTAGGAATGGACAGCAGGATTCTGGGCTGAAATTGAAAAATTAAATGGGTGGAAAACCAAATGACTAAAAAGCAACAATCTACCTCCCCACCCCCCATATATCAAACTTATACTAGGGGAAAAAAAGCTATAGGAGTACGAGCAATCTACCAATGTGTAAAGCCGATGCATAAAATATACTGGTGATACAAAAAAACTAAGCAGCTCAGGAAAAAAATATTTTGGTCAAATAATACTGTAATATCCCATAATAGTTTCCTTTGACTTGTCCTAATCACTTCATGAATACATTTTCTTGGAACTAGTGCAGAATTAGCTTGCCACTACTATCCTCTGAGATTTTTTTTTAAAACGTCCCATTATGGCTTATAGCCCTTGTATTTTCTTAATGTCTCCAATTAGAATAACAATATGGGGGACCCTTCTTAGCTTTTCATGGTACTCTAAGTCTAGGTTGTGTAGGTGCTGCTGCCTAGCTGGACATGCCCTATATCAAATGAGCAATAACAAGGTTACAACACCCTTAGCATATTAAAGCTAGGGCTAGGAAATATAAAAAGGCAAGGAATAAATCAAGTATATAAAATAATGGTGGAGTTTAATAAATTTGTTTACAGACAAGTGACACATATTTAAGAGTTACCTTAGTGGAGGTAAATAAGCACTCAGTCTGGCAATTTTTTAAAACATTCCACATTTTATGAGAAAAGATGCAGCACAACTTGATATTGTTCCTAATTAGCCAGTTGTCCTTATTTCTGTATGACTTAAGATGTCATCAATGGTATATTATTGTCTTTTATCTAATTATTTAGGGTAGTCTTTGCTGAAGCAATAAGATGAATTTGAAAGGCTTGATAAATCAGAGACTGTTGTTGTGTTTATATACATATATAAAAGCATGGTTTGCTTAATCTTCCTTTATTGAATAAATCACAATTGGTTGGATTTACCCAACACACTAAAACATACACCATGGTTTAAAAGATGCACTAGTCCTCAGATATGAGTTAAGATAGTGAGATTTGAAGTTGTTAAAAGGATGGAATCATTTGTAGGGTGTAATCTCAGTAATGCCATTTATCATAAAAATAAAAGGAAAATTCTCCTTAATTCTCCCATTTCCTTTCTCTGTCTTCTGGATTCTAAACTATTCCCAACCTGCAGACAAAGACTACCTTACCTTATTGATTGATTTATATTTATTTTTATTTATATGCTTAGGAAGCCCTTTTGGATTACAGGTAGTCCCCAGTTTAACAACCAGTTCCATTCCCAAGGTCTGTCCTTAAGTCAAATTTGTATGTAAGCCAGAACAGCATTATTGTATAATACTGTACAAGTAATATTGAACCACTGTGCATTTAATTCAAATCACTGCATATTTAACTCAAATTTTGCTATAGTAGGCTCCATGGGTCATCCTAAAACTGGACGTTCTTAACCCAGGGACTACCAGTAATTAAAAAATTTAAAGATAGTTTGGTTGCTCAAATAACACAACTGGAAGTTCACCTTTAAACTACAGTTATGAAGCTAACTTATTTCACTAATATGTTATTAAGACTAATCAGAATTTAAGGTTTATAATGACAGAGGTTTCATGTCATACACTAAGCCATAATGGAATTTGTTTGATTTTGGCTTAACTTACTGTATGAATTCAGTCACATGTGTTTCTTCAGTGTAGTAAACAAACAGTGATTACTATATATATACTTGCTGACAAGGTGCCAAAATACACTCAACAAATTCTGTTTGGCTTATCTGAGGATGGGCTTATCCGTGAGTATATTCGGCAATAGTTTTTTAAAGTAACCATATTTCCTGTATTCACTTGTGGATAAGCCCATCTGCAGATAAACTGACCCTCAAATTTTTAATCAAAATGCCATGAAAAATGTGGGTCGGCTTATCCTCAGGTGGCATATTTTTCCTGGTAATTTGGTTAGAATTCAAGGGTTGGCTTATCTGTGGCTTATATGCAAGTATATATCATTAAGTTCCGGTTTAAAACAATGAATGAACCCAGATAAATATGGAAATAAATGTTATAATAAATCTCCACACAGCAGTGGTGGAAAATTGTTGCAGTTTATCCTTGTAAAGTTAAGTCATGATTTAGGGTTAAAGATGAATACTGGCTTGTTTTATATATTACACTAACCCATTATCTGATTCATTTGATTTTGGGTTAATACAGTGTGTGAACAGGCCAATTGTGGTCCATTCGATAAACTACAGTTTAACAAATGATGGCTTAACACAATATGTAAATCAGGACACTAAGTATTGTTTTCATTCTCTCTGCTGCAAAAAAATATAGTGATTTGATTTACATTGTTCTAAGCTATG